GGGCTTATAGCAGAGCTATAGTGGATCAGAGCTAGGTGGGGAAAACTAAACTGAATGCTGGGAGAAAGGAGGTGGAGTTGGAAAGAAGCTATGGAACTCCCACTGGAGACAGATGTGCTGAAACTTTGCTGGTAGGCCACGGCCTCTTGGTGATGCACAGATTAATGGAGATTGGTTAAATTAAGATGTAAAAGTTAGCCATTAAGAAGCTAGAGCTAATGGGCCAAGCAAGTGATTTAAATAACATGGTTTCTGTGTGATTATTTCAGGGCTGAGCAGCTGGGAACCAACAAGCAGCCCTCCTCACAACAGTGAGACAGTCATCTCACCTCACTCAGCAGAGGGCAAGAATGAGTCGCAGTGAATGAAGAGTTTCCCAGGCCTCAAGAAGCGGCTAGGTGGAGGGTACTACAATATGAAAATGTCTGTTGCCTTCTGCTTGAGGAAATCTAGAACAGCCTTATAAGATAAAACATACTTTAGAGCTAAAGAATAATACTGGGCTGGGGACATAGCTGGCAAGTGGTGGTGATTGCCTGTGATCCTGGCACTCCAGGAGGGAGGGCAAAGGCAGGAAGATGAGATGTTCAAGGTCATCCTCAGCTACCTAAAGAGTTCAAAGTCACCTTGGGATGTAAGAAAATTTGTCTTAAGGGGGAAATTTTTTTTAAAAAGAAATAATATTGGATTAGCATTTTAAGGGGTCTGTAATATTTTGGAGCCTAACAGTAAACAAATGAATGTGCTTCCTGAATTCTAATGGATGTCACAGCCCCTTTCCTAACCCTCCATTTGCTCATCCATACAGGGCAGAAAGTGCTATCACCTACATCAGATACTCCGGTGAGGATTAAACAAGATGCTGAAGACAAACATTCAGCCCTGTTACTGTTTTTATGACTGTCTATGAACTTGAAGGAAAAATCAATGTTAGGAACAGACTGCTGTTTCAGGAGCATGAGAGAACTTGAACTCCATTTGATCAGAGACAAAGGTTGTCTTTGTACATACTCAGAAGGAGAAAGGAGGCTACCTCTTAATGGATTTCATCAGCCAATTAAGCCTCTTTGTATTGGAACAGAAAGCTGTCTTCTATTCCCCATATCCAGGTAAGTATCATGAGTTTCAGCATGTCCCTTGCACCAATGCTTGTCGTTAACAACAGTATTTTAAGGTATGATGGCCTTCCCAGGCTTTCCATTTCTGTCACCTTGGAAGCTTGCATGCCTGCCATATAGCAGGCAAAGCTGTGAGTTTCAGAAGGAAGGGCTCATGTTACCTTGCTTTGTGTCCCAAGAGGATGATCAAAGCAGGGCATCTTAGGATGACTCCAAGAATCTAAGTTTTAGCGCTCACTTCCCTGGCACAAAAAGATGGGTGGATCATCTTCTCTAACAGCTGTTGATATCTATTGGAAGACTCCAGAAGGATGCCTAGTATGGAAAGTCTTGGGGAGCTGTCAACTCAGACATGGATGGAGTCACTATCAGCCTCTGGGACTTGGACTTCCAAACCCGCTGTCTGTGAGTCTGTCCTTAAGTCCTTGTTAGGTCAGCCTGCCCAGGCTTCTGCCATTGGGGTCATGTTGGGGGAACTCCTATTTTTCTTTGTTATTTAACTCTGAGGAACTTGCAGTCAGGAGAAGGGAAGTGACTTAGATGGGTCACATGGTCTATGAGTGGGTGTGGTGGACAGGACTTGGCTCCCAGGCCTGCTCTACCAAGCTTGGACTCACAGCCTGCTGGTCATCCATCCCTTTGTCTATCAATGCCAAGAGCACATTAACCGGAACATTTTATTTCCAGATATGCTGTGGAGGGAGAACCCACAGGATACCTCCCAAAGAAAATATTTTGACTGTCCAGCATCAAAATACACATAGCCATTCTCGTTATTCTTGAATCTCTGGCATCAGCTCAACAACATTCTTGTTTAGAACAATGTGACAATCTGACTTCTGTTTTGGCTCTCTAAATTCTTTTGTCCCGTCCAGCAAAGTGTGAAATGTGTGTTTCCTGGCACTGGGACAACAGCCCCTGACAAGGGGGAAATACAAACAAACATAAGGCAGAGGCAGGTGGGGCATAAACGTGGTAATGTCATCCCAACCCCTTTGAGTCCTGGGCCAGCGTGATGAGCAAGATCAAAAATAAGCAGCCTTCAACATGTGCCTAGTTTCAATGAGTCGGCTGCATTTTTGGCAATCAAGAATAGTGTGATTTCAAAAACCATTTGTAGCCAACCCCACACAGACGTCATTTCCTCTTTTTATGATATCGTCTGGACTCTAGTCTCGTGTTCTCGCTAGACCTTGCTTTCCTATATACAGAATGAAGAAACACAAGCATAGAAACAGTGTGAAGAGAGAAGACCCATCTGTAAGGATTTCCACTGCTGAGGGACATGCAGGCACGTTGTAGAAGTCAGCAAACATTTTCGAAGAAATGAATGAGTTGGGGAAACCTTCCAAGAAGAGACAGCACACAATGTCTTTGAGGATGAAGGGCAGTAGGTGCTCAGGCAGAAGGACCACTTTGTGCGAAGTCTAGAGACATTAATAAGCTTATGACATCCTCTGCAATGACCCTGGGATTGACAGCCTGAGAGCAAGGGCAAGAAATCACAATAGTTCTCTTTTTGACTTAGCTGCTTGTCCCTAGATGGCTGCGATGCCATCGCCCTCATTTCATCCAAACCACCTCAGCAATGCGGCCCCCAGAGACAGACATCCTTCTATTGTAATGTCTCCTGTCTTAGCTCCTTTTCTCCTTGTACTACTTTCCTGGGATGCCTAACAAGTGACCATAAAGCGAGTGTGTTCGCTACTTTGTTTGTTTGTTTCTGTGATAAAATACCATGTTCAAAAGCAATTTAAGGTGGAGATATTTTGGCCTATGGTTCCAGAAGAACAGGTGCCTATAATAACTGGGCATTGGTCATTATGGCAGGGTGGTAGAAGCAGGAAGTAGAGGGATCAGGGAGGAAGTAGGACACAGATATAAATCATCATAGCCCACCCCATTGATGTCCTTCTTCCAGTGAGGCCCCACCTCTTGGAAGGTTCCATAACCTCCCCAAACAAAGATACCAGCTAGGCACCAAGTCTTCAAGTATATGAGCCTGAGAGTAATGGTTCTCATTCAAACCTATTTCAGGGGCTTCCTGAAGCAACGTTGAGTTCTTTCCCTTCCTGTTTAAAGAGTTTCCCTGCAGGGTGGAATGTCTCAGTCTCAGAGAAAACTGCTAAACAGCCACAGCAGGCATGCTCAGCCACACCCCACTGTTTTTCCATTTTATCACAACTCTTAACTAAGAGTTTGCACCTCAGAATAGACTTTGGACTTTTTTTTTTTTTTTTCGAGACAGGGTTTCTCTGTTGCTTGGGAGTCTGTCCTGGAACTAGATCTCATAGACCAGGCTGGCCTTGAACTCACAAAGATCCACCTGCCTCTGCCTCCCAAGTGCTAGAATTAAAGGTGTGCACCACCACTGCCGGGCTGACTTTGGACTTCTGAAGATTGTTGGAAGTTAAGAATATGGGGACCTTTGGAATTGGGATAAAATGCATCTTTGCATTATGGGATAATGTTTTGGTTTATTAATAATATTATTATTATTATCATCATCAACTTTCCACAACCTAGAGTTACCTAAGAAGAGGTGATTTCATTACAGGGATTGCCCTTATCAGATTGGCCTGTAGACATATCTGTGGGGAACTGTCTTTATGAGTGTCTAAGAGAGCCTATCTTGCTGTGGATGATGTCAACCCTGGGTAGGTAATTCGAGATTTATAAGAAAGCTCAGTAAGTACTTGTATGAACCAGGAGACCAAATGAGTAAGCAGTGTTCTTCATTGACTTCTGCTTCACGCTCCTGTCTTGTGTTCCTGCCTTGGCCCCCTTTGATAATGGACTTTAGCCTGTATGTTAAAATAAACACTTTCTTCTCCAAGTTGCTTTTGGTTATGTATGGTGTTTATTACAGCAAAGGGAGTAAGAGAGATGGCCATGAACATTTGGTGGTCAGAGGTAAAATCTTATGGCTTAAATTGGAAACGACCGCCATCGACTCAAGTTTAGAGCATGTGTTCCCTATCCAGAGCTGCTGCTTTGGGAAGATACGGAGCCTTTCTTTGGTGGATCCTACCTGTCAGAAGGAGATTACTGGAGGCAGGCATCTGAAGGGTATATTCTAGCCCTGGTTCTGAGTCTACTGTCTCTCCTTAGTCTGCCGTGATGCCAGCCTCTACCTCAGATGCTCACTGAGTGGACGAGGCTGTGGGAGTATGCCTTCCTTGATTTAATGGGTTGAAACTCTTTGAAATCACAGACCAAAATGAACATCTCATCCCTTAACTCAGTGGTTCTCAATCCGTGGGGTTGTGGCCCCTTCAAGGGGTCACACAGCCTTTCACAGCAGTTACGCATCAGATCTCATATATATCAGATATTTATTCGTACAATGATTCATAACAGTATCAAATTACAGTTATGAAGTAGCAGCGAAAATAGTTTTATGGTCAGGGCTCACCACATCATGAGGAACTATATTAAAGGGTCACAGCATTAGGAAGGTTGAAAACCATTGGCTCAAGTTGTGTCTGTCACAACACTGAAAAGAATAACACCTTTATGAGAGAAGCCTCAGATAGTCTGGCCTGCCCTTTCAGCCTGAGAAGACAAGGTAGGGAACAGCAGCCTTGAACTAGAAATGGGCTCTTGCCAAATCTATCAGCCTCTTGGTCTTGGACTTTGCAGTCCCCAGAACTGTGAGAAATCTATTTTTTATGGTGGATAAGCCACCTCATTTACATATTTCACAACGTAGACCAAGACAAGGCCAAGAATAGATCGAGACAATAAAGTTATGGAGAAAAATCCAGTCAAGTAACTGTGAATGAAGAGAATTTATTTAAAAAGTGGCACCTCACAAAATGCTAAACATAATTTTTATGATCAAATAATGATAATCAATAATATAATTCTCAAATAAAAAGAACTGCCTTGCATTGCTCGTGGAAGAAACTTGTGCCTTGGATGCTCATCTTACACCTTCTCTGTGAAGCTTTCATGACACAACTTGGATTCTAGCTCCTTTCATGTCTCGCAAATAAAGATGGTCGGTCTGTTAAAAAAAATCAATGTTAAAGGGCTTGGAAAGCTTCCCTGTGTTATAGACATGGGAGCGAGCATTAAGCTAAACAACTCAGCCATTAAATTAATTTAAAGATGGAGATTAAAAGCTACTGGCATGATCCGAATTTTATAGCCAACCGAAATCTATATTTTGAAATGCAGCTTCCATGTGTTACCATTTTAAGAAGCTGGACCAGCATCATTTGATCGATGTCCTTGTAAAAGGGTTACAAGGAGCTTCTCCCTCCCATCATAACAGGGTGCACACAGGTACCTTTCATGATTGACAGGTCCTCACTAAGTACCCACTCTGCTGGCACCTAACTTTGGAGATTTCCCAACTTCCAGAACTGTGTGCAGCAGTGTCTGTTGTTTGTGAAATTTCCAGCCTAAGGCATTGGTGATACAGCAGCCTCAGCAGACTTGATCAATGCCAAGACAACTGACATTTTACTGCTGGCTGAAGTTATTTCTTGAGCCATAATGTTTCTGTGTCTGCAGGAGTCTGTCTGATTTTAATTTTTATTTCCTATTCTCGTTACCCACCTCTGCCTGATTCATAGATTTTGGCAGCGGGAGAGAAAAGAGTAATTTCTTTGTGGGATAGACTGAAAAAGCTGTGAGCTGTTCGTGGTGGTATCTGTTTATTATTTAGACAGGCTTTCTTTCTGTAGTTTAGGTTTGCCTTGAACTTGCTGTATAGTCTAAGCTGTCCCTGAACTTGTAGTAATCCTCCTGCATCAGCCTTGCTAGTGCGGAATCTTGTCTTCACTGGCTATGGTGTACTTCTCTGATCTGCTTGGACCACTCTCTATTGAAGTTATAATACATTAGAAGGAAATATTCATGAGAAAAAACAGGACTGAGATTCTTTCTTCTATCCTCTGTAAATACTCTTTTAGTTAAGGTTTAAATTTTAAAACAGCAGCATAACGGGAGCTGTGAGGTAAAATATTTTGCTTTGGTAATGTAAGTTTTAATTTGCACATAAACTATTTTACCAAATTCTGATTGTCTCTTTGAAAATGAAATGGATTTTTTTTTAGTTGTTCATTACCTGTTTTGGAACAAGAGATGATCAAGCAAACATTGCCTATGACTAAAAGGGTTTGTGTAGAAGAGGGAGTGATTTTAAGGGAAAAAAAAAACTTGATAAACCCTGGGTGTCAAGGGCACTAGACAAGCCACCAATCAAGACTATATTTCAGATGCTAGTGACTCGGAATTTCCCGGGGCTTTGGGATTAGCCCCATTGTCGTTTGGGTACAGGGGCACTTTGTCTCGTGGAATATTTGATCCTGACTGTCACCTGGAGAGGTGTCTTAATTACTTTTCTATTCCTGTGATAAAACACCATGACCAAGGCAGCTTCCAGAGAGAGGGTTCATTTGGACTTACGGTTCCAGAGGTCTAAAAGTCCATCACCATCATGACAGGAATGTGTGGCAGGCAGCAGGCATGGTGTCCCGAGAAGCAGGCTGAGAACTCACCTCTTGAACTGCAAGCAGAAAGCCAAGAGCAAATCATGAATGGCATAAAATCTTTGTACTCGTAGGGTCTGCCTCCAAGTGACATAATTCCTCCAGCAAGACCATGCCTCCTAAGCCTCGCAAGTAGCGTTGACTGGGGATCAAGTATTCAAATGCCCAAGGCTGTGAGAAGCATCTTTTTCAAACCACCATAGAAGGAGCTAGACTCACCTAGAAGACAAGCCTCCTTTGCATGTCTGTGAGGGAGTTTTTAGAGAGGTTAACTGAAGTGGGAACAGCTACTCTAACTTTGGTGGCACTGTCACACAGACTTCAGTCTGAAAAATAAAAGGAGAAAGTGAGCTGAGCTCCAGCATTTATTACTCTGTGCTTCCTGACAATGGAAAGTATGGCCCAGTTACCCACAAGTCCCTGCTGCCATGATTTCCCCCATCGTGAGAGGCTGGACCCCGAAACTGTGAGCTAAAATAAACCCGATCTTCCTTAAGTTGCCATGTCAGGTATCTTGTCACAGAAACAAGAAAAGCGACAAACACACCCACAGCTGTCAGCGCGCCAGAAGCTTGGTCCTCAGAGTGGCAGTCTTAAGAAGTAGTGGGCTCCATAGAGGTAGAGCCTACTGGGAGGTCATCACTGGCCTCCTCGTCTTCCTGTGTTGCCATGGACTCTCCCTCTTATGCACACACTTCTACTGTGCTGCTATCTACCATGAGGTCGTGACTGTAGCTGAGACCATGCCAGTATCATTTCTTTGACACTATTGCCCCAAACCATGAGTTCTTCAATCAAGTTCTTTTGTAATATAATCAAATCCATAGCATGAGTATTTCCCATTCAAAGATGCATCCTCCAGAGCCACTGCCAATACCCAGCACAGGTACAAGTGGAGGTTCAGGTTCTGGGTCTGGACTGATGAGGTTGGGGTCAGGGGAGCAGTGTGTTCAACGGTAGCTCTATGATCCATGAGTCTTATATAACATTCTACTTTTCCCTTCCTGGGAAGTGTCAGACAAGGTGTTTGTCTGTGTCACCTCAGCTTTCCCTTCCTGCACAGAGGGCTCAGTCTGAATGCTAACTAAGGTTTCCACTCCCTGGGTTTGTCCTTTATGGAGAGTGACCATCTATCCTTATGACTTGTCTTTTATGGAGACTTATGTCAACCTAGGTTGGTAGAGAGTTCATTTCTGAAAAGAACAGAGATGCTCTTGCTTCAAGAGAAATTTTGACACATCACTTCTGAGTGCAATTCTTTGTCACCTTCTTCAACCTCTTCCTTGCTTTGGAACAAAAATAGATTCCTAATTCTCCATAGGCAGCAATTTGTTTCCTCCCCACTAAGACGCTTAATCTTTTTTAAAGCACAAATTCATAGGACATGTCAAAATTATGCTAACCACCAAGTTGTGACATGACCGTATTATCTCAAAGCCATCATCCCCCTGGACCACAGAGACCTCCCATCAGTCCTGGAAAGAATGAGGAGGTGTGGTGCTGACCTGCACACTCAGTGGGCTCAGAAAACAGGCCTGTGCTGACTGTGGGCAATTCATTCCTGGTTCTGAGACTCTTCTCCTTTAAATGAGGTTTGTAATCTCAATTGGTCCTAAATTACAAGATCCATCAAAATGGACCCAGTCATATGCCCAGGGATAACAGCTTCAGCCCGCTCAGAGTCAGATGACAGCCTTGGGGTATGAACTTAGATATGGATAAGGTAGATGGAGAACTTGACACCTACCCTCTTCTGCTGGGCCATTAAAAGAGTGGCCGATGAGGAGTGTCCCCTATAGAAGGTAGTGAAATTGGGGTGGCGAGTGGAGTGCATACGTGTATCTGTTACTTGTCTTGTGGCAGCAACACAAGCAACTGAAGGAAAGAAGCACTTGTTTGGCTCATGGCTTCAAGCTGCGGTCCCTCGTGGCAACTGGAGCTGAGGCCGCTGGTAACCCTGCATTTGTAAGGAGCGCTGCATCCACCCTAAGGATGCAAAAGGTACCAAATGCTGGTGCTCAGCTCATTGTCTCCTTTTTATTAATGGACCTCAGCCCCTGGGATAGTGCTACCTTGTATTCAAAGTAAACCTCCCCTCCTCATACCAGTCTAGACTGTCACTCACAGACATGCACAAAGATCTGTCTCCTAGGTGATACTAGATTCTGCCAGGTTGACAGTCAGTATTAGTCATCATGGGGACTGCATAGGTAAGCAACGAGAAAAAGAGAGCAGATTAGGTGGATGGGCACATGATTCGGTGGGAGATCAGAAACCAGAGTTATTCTCAGTTGAGCAGAGGTGGGGTCAGAGTTGGTCAAGACAGCAGGAGACAGTGGACAGGCATGTGGTCTGACTGATGTGAGCATCGAAGAGCTAAGAGGGTCATCAATCCAGGGATTGCTTGAGGCAAGGTAAAAGAGTGACAAGCAGGAGGTGCTTCAGTCTTCAGAATTACAAATCATCCGAAACACCTCGTACTGTTTCTGTCTGACCTTGTGCAAGGAAGCAGGGAGGGAAAGGGAGGAGGAATTCTTGAAGTCTGATCATATGACATGCTCGGTGCCAGGAACTGCCTTTGAGTTGACGAATTCTCTTGGTTACTCTTCTGAGACTTCTCATAGCACGTGTGGCTATCCCAAGAGTTAAAGATGGGCACAGGGATGCATACATAAGGCTGAGGGCAAAACTCATGATTTCGGATGGTTTGGGACACGATTGGTCAGGTGGTATCTTTAGTAATCAGTTTTACTGCCAGTAACTGAGATGATACTGATCAATAAGGGCAGAAGGGATAGTCTAGTTGCTAAAGGGCTTGTCTTGAAAAGAAGAAGACCTGCATTCAAGCTCCAGAACCCATAAAAAAAGAGAAAGGGAAGAAAGAAGGAAGGAAGGAAGGAAGGAAGGAAGGAAGGAAGGAAGGAAGGAAGGAAGGAAGGAAGAGTTTAGCCAAATAACATGTTCCCCAGATCTGGGGAGGTAGAGACAAAGGAATCATTGGGGTTTACTGGTCAGTTTGGACAAGTTAGCAAGCTCCAGTTCAATGAGAGACCCTGTCTCAAACAAACAGATGGACAGCTCTTAAGGACACACACACACACGAGAGGGGAATTAATACATTCAGAAGGATTAGGAAGCTAAAACAAAAATCTAACTATGGGAAAGACATCTTCACATCAGGAACCATAGCTGTCATCTGCCCCACTGGCGTGTCTGTTCTTAGTACACTCTGGACAAGGCTATGGTCACCTGGCAGGTGGCCACTTCTGCCCCAGGAGTTCTGTGCATCATAACTACTGCTTCTGGATTTTTGAGTAGATGGAATCCAAGTGGCAGGTGGCAGGGATGTAAGGAGAGCGCCCCCACCCTGGTGTCATCCCACCTAACACACCTACCACTAGTGAGGGTGTCCACTTCCTGTGTCTCCAGTTCCACGTCAGATCTAGGCCAGGGAACAGCTCCAGCTTTGGATGGGATATAGGCTGACAAGTTGGGGCTGGAGGTGCCAGCTGGGGTCACGCAAATTCTGCCCCCTGGCAAGACTCAGGGGACCCAGAGAGGAGCAGTGGCTATTACTATGGCTATTATTAGTCACTGAGAAGGACAGATGTCTCTCCAACATCATTACCCAATACACATAGTAGAAGCCTGATTATTCAAGGAGACGGAAGAGATGAAAATCAAAACAAACCAAAACCAGACACACAGCAAGGTAGACCTCAGCAAGGTGGGCCGGATGACTCACCAAACTCTTTGTAAATATGAGGGAACAGGCTGAGTGGAAGTGACTTGCCCAAGACCTTGAAGGTCATGAAAGCAGCTGGCCAGACATCATTTTCTTCCCAGAGCAATATGCTCATAAATCACGGAGCCAGTGAAATCTCTTAGAACCAGTTCGCCCCCACGTGACCTCACGCTGGGCTAGAACAGAGGGCTCAGGACTTTGAGTCGGATTGGATATGTCAGGCTAACAAGTGTTCCCCATGTTTGTTGCAACTGAACTTATTCCATCTCTTTTTTCTGCTTCTTCCTGGAGAGTGTGGTGGGATTCAAGGGCACCTTTTATCCACGGGGAGGGCCCCATGTGCTCCTTGGGTGTGAATGTGTATTTGGGGGAATCTTTTGATGTGGTTCTCCAAGGCTTCAGCTAGGAGCTTTTAAGATGTTAGGAGTTACATTCTAACATCTTAAACTCCAGATTCTGAGTTCAATACACAGATTATCTACCCAGAACATAAGAGTGAGGCCACGGATATGCGCGGTTGGTGCCAAGGCTAGGAAGTATAGATCAGTTGTCACAAGCACTAGGAGGCTTCCTGGCTCTTGGCCTCTAGTCCCAGTGAGGAAACGTTCTGGTCCAGGAGTGGCCCACTAGTTATAGGGCCGTATCTGAACCCTAAGGCTCTCCCAAGCTGTCAGCCTGGTGAGGTCCAGAAGTACCATTTCAATCATTTCAGATTGGTAAGCCTAGCATTAACATTGCTTAGCATTGTCTAAACCACCTTGCTTTCTAGACCTCAAATCCCTTTCAGAGCAACATGGAGGAGACATACTAAAAATCTCTGTGAAGATTAAGTACATAACGCTTGCAGACAGTATGAGGACAAAAGAAAGCCCCGGATGATGCTGAACGCGGAAATCAAGACTTTTTCTTCTGCTGCTGGGAACCACTGTCCTACTTGGTTGCAGGACAGTCAGTGGTTGGGGCAGAGGAGGTGTCAAGAAAACCAAAGGAAGACTCAGCAAGGTGAAAGATGAGAGAGGTCACTTTAGGGGGGTCACCCTCCTTTTCTTTCTCGTGCTCTGAACCTCAGGCTGTGAAGAAACGGCTCCTCTGGCCTTGATGCTCCCCTCTATAAAACGAGGATGTTTGCTTAGACAATTTTAAAAGCTCTTGCATCTCTGATGTTTGAACAATTCTTTAAATGCGTTAGTTTCAAAACTCCTGGCAGAACTTCCAGGGGCTAAATCTCCTACCAGGTCAGTTTTGAAATAACGACCAGGGAAGTCATCAGTGTGGGCAAACCCTGGGGGGGACATTTTTGCTACTTGGACGCATGCCATTTTTCCAACATCTCATGTTTTCAGATAATAATAACTGTTATTTCTGCTAGATGGTTCACTCACAAAGGTTTTGCAGTGCCAAGGTGCCTGGGGCTGGGGGCTGGGCACACAGTTTTGGCAGTATCTTTCCTCTGAGAATGTGTCTACACCTGTACGACAATTAACTAAGTAATTTAAGTGAAAACCCCACCACTTTACACCTGAAATATGCTAATAATTGGGGAGAAAAATCTGTGGGAGTATCTGATGTTAATTATCTTAATAATTGCCTCAGCCCCTCACGGCATATTTGGAAGCTGTCTCACTAAAGTGAGGGTCCCCCCAATAGCGGTAAGATAGGGACAGGTCATGTTATGGAGTCCTGGGGTCTGGCGTGACAGCATCTCAAGTGACATTGGCTTCTTACTGTTTGCGCCTGACCTCACAGCCTCCTCTTACCTGCGAAATAAAGAAGTGCAGTCTTTTAGAGTTCACACAGGACCGTCACAGGTAGGTTACCCAGTCCTCAGCCATGCTGAGGACATTCAGAACGTTCTGAGAGTGAGGTCCTCCAAGATCGCTAGAGAGAGACTGTTGCTTGCTGAGGGCTCTTTACTCCCTGCCTGTGTACCTGCCGGCCCTTTAGAGTCACCTTGGGGCAGGTTGGAGAGGGGAAAAAAAAGCAGCCTGCAAATGAATACACCAAGAATTGTGGCCCACAAAATGGGGTCCCCAAGAGGCTCGAATCTGACCTTCCCTTGGCATATTCAGCTTTCCTGAGGCTCACAGGTGGAGTCCAG